TCTGCTACTTTCAATAGTAATATAATTAATATTAATATAAAAATTAATGAGTTAATGTAAAAGTAACTCTGTATGTAGGAATTTATGCTAGATTTCCTGTAAATATGGACAATTTTAAGAAAAAAATATTTAAGGTGAAATATAAAACATATATTACCAATAAAAAAAATTTAAAAAAAGAGCAAAACCACAAAGATATACCACATCACACCCACTAGGATGGTTGTTAAAAAGAGGGGCCCTCCTGCCCTGGTAATAACTAATAAAGTTTGGTTTATATAAAATGAAATAAACAGAGGAGGGGAGAGGGGGGTGACGAGTGCTGAAAAGGGTGAAGAGAAACAGGATCCGCAGTAGCAAACAGCCTGGTAGTTCCACAAGAAGATGTAGAACTACCAGAGGCCCAGGGTCTGCATGCCTCGCTGAAAGCAGGCGCTCAGACAGACACTTGTAGGCCAGTGTTCACGGCAGCACTAGGCACAACAGCCGAACAGTGGGCACAATCCAAGTTGTGGATTATCGGCTGAATGCATAAGCAAAATGTGATAGTCATATAACAGAAATTATTCAGCAATTAAAAAAGACATTGGGAAACATGCTATGTAACACGAACCTTGAAACCATTGAAAAAATAAGTCAGACACAAAGAACATGTATGATTCTACTTACATGAAATATCTAGAACAGACAAACTCACAGAGACAGAAAAGCACCAGGTCAAGAGAAGGAGGGGCTGGAATGTGGAGTTATAATTTAATGGGTACAGAGTTTCTGTTTGGGGTGATGACAACGTTTTGGAAATAGTGGAGCAGTTACACAACACAGTAAAGGCAATTAATGCCACTGTTGTGTACTTACACATGGTGAAAACAGCAGTTTATGATACTGCAACATAGACGAGTACCTCCTCGTGTTTGTGTGTGCTTGTGCATATATATGTGTGAAGCACGTAAGCTGTCAACTCTATGACTGAATACTCATTCGAAGTATTCCTGTCACTGATTCTCATGTCCATCATTCCTGTGTCAGGCAGACTACATCTAAGTCCAGTAAGTTAGTCCAATCCTAAAGGTCCCGTTTCTAACACTACGTAAGTGGAGTCAAAAGTTGATGACGGGCCACTGAATATTCAAGATTGTAGGAGGAGTCAGATAAAGTGGAATGGTAATGGAGGAGATGGAGCTAGAAGCTTTAGTTCAAGTTCAGGCTTTAAAAAAGCATGCTACGTTTTATGGGTCCATGTCGGGAAAAGTTCTATAAGATCTTAAACCGTTTTCTTTGCTTCTACGCCATAAAGGAAAAAGCAATTGCTGTTGAAATCCCAAAACCCACTCCAAGAAAGAAAGCAAGACAAGCTCACATCATTCCGGTCCTTGGTCAGTCTCTCCTCCAGTTCCTGGGCTAATTGCAAAAGCCACCACTGCACCTACAACGGGGTGTTGAGGGTGGAATCTTCATTTAAAACTCTAGCTCTGTCACAGAGGGAGGTGCTGGCTGTGTTCAGGTCCCCCCAGACAACAGGCATCTTCTCAGCTCTCTGACCTGCCCTCACTGTCTCGTCCTGCTGACATACCATAGTGAGGCCAATTCAGGCATGTGCAAGCTCAGAGAAAAAGAAAAGGCCCACAGCTGAGGCACCCTCAATTGCCACCCACCCCAAATGGAACTCTAATCAGAACTTTAATCACTTCCACGTTCTTTCTTTTTGGGTGGAAGTTGGGGTGGGGAAGCAATAAAGCTCAAGTTAAACGAGCCAGCTTTCAGTGTTTAGAAACGAACCTCTATTCCTTTCATACTTTGCCTTTCTAGCACACGTTCCCAGCTAACCTAATAAACCTGCCTGCTAACCTGCAGAAAAGAGGCAGTTGGTGGCATACCTGATCCCGAGTAGCCAGTGCTGTTTTCCCTGGGAAGTTCTTGCTGCAGCCAATAGTTTTGGGTAGTTGCCTGGGTTTAACTGGATCATGCTCAATACCTCGGCACATGGCATACAGCCAAGACCTAATAAAAAACAGCAAAGAAACATTCAAGTTCGAATAAATGCTCCTTCATTTTGTTTTAACGTTTGTTGTGAATTAGGTGAGGGCTTACAGATCATGTTTGCATCCAACAATTCAACAACCCCCCCAATGGCTTGTCCTGTTCCCCGACTCCCCACTCCATCTCCCTCTTGTTGAATATTGCCTCTCCCTTCACCCAAGTTAATACCTTCTACACTCTACCACCGATTACTTCCCCTTCCCTCCCTGAGCTCCCACCCAGGGTTACCCTCAAAATCTGTTTCTTTGGCTAGGAAAACATTTATCTTTTTGTGATGGACTAATTTCACTCAGCATAATGCTCTCCAAGTCTATATCAGGAGGTGTTTCCCAGGCTCCTTATTCTTCTTTAATGTTGTAGAACAGTCCCCTGGATGTATGTACCAGTTATTGACCCTCTCTCCCCGCACGGTTGTTTCCGTCATCTTGTAACGTGAGCAGTGCTGCAGCGGTGAACATGGCCGTGGCTGTGCACGTAGTTATTTGTGCTCCGGTTCCTTATTTCTTAAGGGTAGACAGACACCCACTAGAAGAATTGCTGAGTCATATGGTGTCTTGTTTGAGGAAGCACCAGGACGTTTTCCACACTGGCTGGACAGTCCGCACCGTCCTACCAGCACAGTGTATGAAGGTTCTATTTTCTCTGCACCGTCCCTAGCATTTGCTATTTTTGGTTTGGGGGTGTTTGTTTGTTTGCTCTGTAACTTTGCTGTCAATACTAGGTGAAGTGGTTAAATGGTTATTCCTATTAAGACAAATACTTCTATTACCCGGGCATTCCTTTGAGTAAAAAGGAAAATTTTGACTGCAATTAGATGCACCTGACCTCTGATATTGAATCCCTGCCCCTTCTACTGAATTTTTGCTACGGAAAAATCCTGAGCAAGCCACAGACTCATCTCCAGAAAGTTTTGTGTGTACGCGTGTGTGCATGCATGAGCGTGTGCACACACATTCACGGAGGCCTAAACATGAAGACAAGGAGTCCTGGTGGCACAGTGGTTAAAGCATTTGACTGCTATGCGAAAGGTCAGCAATTTGAACCCGCCAGCCGAGATATGGAAGAAATTCAAGGCAGTCTGCTTTCACAGAGACTTAGCCTTGGAAAGCCTGTGGAGCAGTTCTGCTCTGTCCTGTGGCGTTGCCACGAGCCGGAACGGACTTGATGGCAAGGCAGCGGGCTTGGTTTTTGGTAAACACAAAGATGTTAAGGGAGCATTGTAGCACACGTAAATGACGCAGTAGCACAGCAGATTCTCATTATGTGTGGTTGTCATGTCCCATAAAGTCAACACAAACACCAGCTCGGTGAATCCTGAACCACTGCTCTGAGGGGAAATACAAGGTTACCATCCTGTAAGCGTCCTACTCACGACATTGTCAACTGACCACACAAAACATCATCGTGCTCCGCGTGTGTTTCTGTTCAAACACACATGCTTTCTGTTGATGCACTAACACTGAGCTCATGGCCGGCAGCACTGTAACTCACGCCTGCACAAAGCTTAGCTAACACAGGTATTTTCTCCGTGAGGCGTAGCACTGCCTTCTGGAGCTCAGGTGCAGGAGGCAGCACACTTCAGCTCTCTACTTGTGGTCCACTTGAAACAGGGACACCCTTAGAGCCAAACAACATGGCAAACTGTGCCAAGGACGCTTGTTCCAGTATGAGCAGACCCAGGAAGGTGGACATTGTTCTGTTCCCCCTCAGCATAGGGGACAGCAGGGCGCTGTCTGTGAATGACCATGACAGCACCATGAGTCCTGACGCTGGGCTACAAAATAAATGCCAACAAGCAGGCCCATCCACAACAGAATCTGTGAGGATCATCTGGAGATATCCAGGCTCCAGAGTAACAATTCCTACCGAGCAACCTACCCGGGTACGTGAGTCAGCTCGTGGAGAATAACAGGCCATAGTTCTAGGACCTAATATTTTAAAGTAAGATGGACCAATGAAATTTCCTCAGTAAACATGAACCTGGAGATAGTTGTACTGGGCACTTCTGTCTGTATTTACATCCATAAACGTTCTCTTTGGCAAGAGGAATTGCTCACCCATTCTTCTCCCCAAAATGACTCTGGAGCTGGGCTTCAGTGAACTGGGTCAGTTCACCCATGTATTGTATCCCCAGGATTTCAATGACAGAGGCCCCAAGCTTTCCTCCGAGGCTACGGCTGATAAAGAGGAGAGAAATAATTTAAAGGCATTTGGTAAATATCTGGTTAGCATAAAATATTCTGCTTCTGTAACTGGGTCTCCACAAAGTTCAGGGGAAATTAGAGCACAGGGTTGGTCTCAACTTGCCAGCGCAAGTCTAGATGCTGCTGGGAATCCAGTGATACGCGGGGAGCTAGGACCTACAAAAAAGGTTAATAGGAGCTCAAACAAAATGTCACTGCTGGACTCTCAAGCCAACTATAAATAAACCTTTTAACTGCACAGGATTTACTGTCTTATTTGGGGATTAAAATGTCAACACTCATATAAATCCCTTCTTCACACCACAACCTTCTGGAGTTAAGAATATGCCCAACCATCTTCAGCCTGACCCTCATGTTCCCTATGGCCTTGTCCTCCTCCACCTATCTTTTCAGTCCGCGTTCCAGTTACTTCCGCTCTTCAACATGGTCTAGCTGAACTGATTTATCAACACCCATCTGTCAGTCTGTTATACCATAGTGGCTATGTGTTGCTGTGATGCTGGAAACGATGCCATCAGTATTTCATCTCCCAGCAAGGTCACCATGGCTACCAGACTTGGAAGAAAGGCCTGGCAATCTACATCAGAAAATTAGCCCATGAAAACCCCGTGGATCACAACAGAACACTCTCCAGTACCGTGCTGCAAGACGAGCCCCCTAGGTTGGAAGGCACTCAGCACACAATGGCACCGCAACACAGACCTGTGGGATACAAAAAGACTTTTCCCCAGCTTTGTCTCCCCCAAAGATATGCCAAACACTAGAGGCTGTTTGCCAGCACATGGTGGGCGGTCAGATGCTTAAGAGATAACCTCCCTGAAAGCACTCAGCCATCAGACTACTGTCTGGTCCCACCACAGGTGGGGCTCACTCGCTGCTATTAGGAACGATGGACTGCTTCCCCTGAAAGCTTCAGCTAAATCACTTCTCCAACTCAAGGGCAATCAAGGTTGGGCTGCCATCATGAATCTAGGATCCGCCCATCTTGTCACATGTGTACCCCCATTACCTCCCCTTCCTATTGCCTATACACCCCTAGATTGTCCCTCTCATTACTGTAGTACCTATAGTACAACCCCTTCCTGTGACATGTATCTTTACCTGTAATTAGGGGGCTTGCATGCCCCCAAACGATATATAAGCCTTGGTTAGTAATAAATCTCTCTCCTGCACTCTCTGCCCACACTGTGCATGGACCTGGCTATTGAAATCAAGGCCGTCCGGGAGGTGAGCATGCTACCATGAAATGTGTCTGACTTCTTTATTTTACACTCTCTCCCATCTCTCCTATTACTCTATGACTTTACTATAATCTCTCTATATATAAACCATGAAATTGAGCTTACAGTACCCGTGATTAGTTGTGGGGGCTGGCTTTCCCCCACACAGATCCGTGTCTCCGATGACTGAAGAGATGACCAAGCACCATCCGGCTCTGCTGCACACGGGCCGACTCAACACTGACTAACCACAACAGCAGGACTAGGTTCCAGTTCACTGGAGACCCTTGACACTTTCTCCTTTGTGTTCAAAACGTCTGCACACCAGTACTGCTCTCCTGGTCTCACCGGACTCGCTGCACCCTGCCAGACATCCACACAAAAGCCCAGGCCTTTTGCCCGAATCCTTCTCAGATCACTCCTCTTCTTCTGTTAGGAACTTTGGGAACTGCCTGCATAATTTCTTTAGCAATTACTCAAGTGCAGTCTTGTGACGGCAGTTTCACTGTTACCTCAGTAACAGGATAAGCCCTATTGTCAAGGACACATCATTCCTAGGGTCAACCTGGTGATTCATTGGATTTGGCTCCTTTTCTCGGGCCCAGGATGGGAGCAACTTAGCCCAGGTACCTATTTGCGCTGGCGTCAGTCATTGCTAAGGAAGAAACCTCCACCAGAGAGTGCCTTCATGTGGATACAAGTGAAACGTAAGGCACGCCCTGAATACTTACATTTTGCCAACAGGCATTTGGCTGAAGAGCTGTGGGACCGAGCCGTGGGAGACCAGTGTCTGGCGGTTGGGCTTGTTTAATCCACAGGCCAGTTTTGCCAGGACCTAGAGCATGGAAAGTGTAAAAACCTCATTACTGTCAACCCCACTCCCACAGAGGGCTGGTGAATATTAAAATACACATACACAGAGGTTAAGGGTAGCTAATGGTTTCCACATTAAACACCAAATCAAAACCAGAAATTCTAGACATCGCTAAAGCCTGGTTCCACATCCTCAGTGGAAAATATGACCCATCATCATTGTCCTCATTGTTCTTCCCACAGCTCTTCCACAACCAGTTTTTCTTTCATCTTTTGTCCTCCCCCTCATCTTTTCCTTGAAGTCCTCCCACCTCAAGAGGTTTAAAATGCAGACAAGCTGAAGAAGACATTCCAACAGTATGGAGTTCTCCTGTACTCATCGGAAAACTACAGAAACCACCTTGTCTTACCCTACACCACCTGTTTACACGTCTAGTGAAAGCCTCCTCTGTTTTGAGTCCTGAGTTTGACGTAGGTGATCGTAATTTCAAATCTGTAACAGAGACTGGGCTCATAATCATCTGCCAATGGCAAACACGGTCTAAACCAGGCTTCAAAATGAAAACAACGGAAAGATAAAATCGTTTAGAATGCCAAGAAGGTGGCGCTTCAGAGGGGTATTTTCAGAAATTATCACTGATGGGCAAAGTAGAAAAGCATCAACAAATCATTAGAGAACTACTCTCAAAATGTCTACTAAGCAACCTTCAGTCTAGTTGATGCTGGAACTGCTGCCCCTCCCAGCCTAATGGGGCAGACGGGCTGCAAAGCAACGACTCTGCAGGGAAACTGGGCAATTGACTCCGGGCAGGCAGCAACCAGGGGAACCCGCTGGTCCTTCCTCACGGTGCCTGGTCAGAGAGAGGGACGTCTCGGACTTCTATCGCCCTTTGTTCACACACAGGACCCAGCCGGCTGCACGTATGAAAATGATATAATGCTACACTAGTCAGCAAGTCAAAGAAATCCATTTATCCAGCAAAATCTGCAGACGTTTGTGTAAGACAAAACCTGTCAGGAAGGAAACCCAAGTATTTCCCAGGAGAACAAGGGTAGGAAAAGTGGTCAGACTGCTCCCTGGCCAAGGTGGGAAACCTTTGAAATCTGGGAAAATCAAGGCTCTCGACTGCTTTCCCGAAGTACAGACCTTCCCAGGCTAGCCTCCCTCCTCTGGCTGGTTCAGCCACTAAGGAAATACACAGAACCCAATATACCGTCAGTGCTTCCTGTCAAGTGTCCAGCCTGCTTTGTAGGACAGTGCACGTTCAAATGCTAACTCTCATGCGAAAGGATGAATCAGGCCTTGTTGGAACCTTAAGATTCATTTCAAACGGAAACACATCTAAACTTATACGTCTGAATCATGTCTGACATGCCCTACCCAGGTCGATCCTTGCTACGTTCACTAACTAAAGAACGCCAGGCTTGTGGTCGTCAGGACTCTCCGGCTGGTCTTCACCTTGTTGTGGGAGATTCCCGCTGAACACTGGAAGCCCGTCTGCCGTTCTATGGCGGCTCTCATCTCCTCCACAATCACAGCGCCCACAGTGAGCTGCAGGTCTGGAGAGGCAGGGTGACCAAGCTGAAGGGTGCCAAGCCATTGACATAGGCCTATTTGTCGCATTTCCTCTGAAAAAGTTGAAGGGGTCACAATTAGACATCGTTTTGAAAAACCCTTCCATGGTGCTAGCTAAGGCAACAATGCTCAGATTCTGGGCACTACAGATGTAGGTTTTCACACACAACAGGGAGGAGGGTATGCGCAGGGCTGCCATTTCAGAAGACTGAGTATCAGAGGGATCCATTTTTCCTTCATGGGAATGCCAGCAGCTTCAGCAGAGGCTGCGCTTTCCAGTTCTAAAATGCGACTTGCTATCATTCAGGAGCCAGGATTTATTTATAAGGATATCTGTTTCCTCTGCCCAGTTTTCCTGCACTTTCTTCCTCCCACTTCCCCTTGAACATCCATACGTTTTATTGTTGTCCAATTAGAAAATATTCAAAATGAAATCAAGCTTCCGCAACCATTTTCAGTTAGTAGTTACACATTTTTTTGGAGGCTGGTTCCAGTTGAGTGACTTAGAATCCATTAAGAAGTGCTACAAGATTTGTTCTTCTGACAAGTTAGATGCGGCTTTGTATCTTCGGCATCCAATTTAGAATGAGCCATGATTTTTTTTCTCAAATCATTTTATTGGGGGCTTTTACAGCTCTCATCCATCCATCCATCCATCCATCATGTCAAGCACATTTGCACATATGGTGCCATATCATTTTCAGAACGAGCCATAGTTTTGAAGAGCAAATTACAGCGCGAGGGCAGTGTGCAGAGGAAACGCAGCCATGCTGGTTTAAAGAGGCAGCCAGGCGAGCTGAACAAGGCAAGAGAAGTATGCTGGCGCTGCTGAGGGAAGGGCTGCATAGATCAGAGATGAGGCAGGTGAGCACTTGTAAGGACAAACTGCCCTTGGCTAGCTCGTCTTCCTCCTCACACACTCTAACCTTGGGCTCTGAGCAGCGTTCCCTCGTCTCTGTACAAACACATTCTCTCTTGGTAAACTCTCTTATGGGCCAAGTGGTCTATTGTGAGTAAACCAAAAGCCAAACCTCACTGCCTTCCAGTGGGTTCTGACTCATAGCAACCCCATAGGACAGAGTAGACCCCTGGTGTGTCTCTTCTTTCTCCCGAGGCGTAGCTGCTGTTTGTGAGTGGACTGTGACCTTAGCGGTCCAGGGCATATATTCCACAGCCTCGCCAGGGCTCTCTGTGTCAAGTAAATGCAAATCTTGATCCCTCAATTCTGACTTGAATTAAAGGTTAAAAATCCAGATATTCCATTGGGTGCCCACCTTCCTGATACAATCACTGAAGACAAATGTGTGCATAAGCAAATGTGGTGAAGAAAGCTGATGGTGCCCGGTTATCAAAAGATATAACATCTAGGGTCTTAAAGGCTTGAAGATAAACAAGCGGCCATCTAGCTCAGAAGCAACAAAGCCCACATGGAAGAAGCACACCAGCCTGAGTGACCACAAGCTGTCGAAGGGATCAGGTATCAAGCATCAAAGAACAAAAAATCTTATCATTGTAAAGGTGGGTGGGTGCAGAGTGGAGACTCAAAGCCCATTGTTAGGCAACTGGACACCCCCTTACTGAAGGGTTGTGGGGAGGAGATGAGCCAATCAGGGTGCAAGGTAGCAACGATGAAACATATAACTTTCCTCTAGTTCTTAAATGCTTCCTCCACCCCACTATCATGGTCCCAATTCTATCTTACAAATCTGGCTAGACCAGAGGATATACATTGGTACAGATAGCAACTGGAAACACAGGGAATCCAGGACAGATGACTCCCTCAGGGCCAGTGTTGAGAGTGGCGATGCCTGGAAGGTGGAGGGAAAGTGGGGTAGAAAGGGGGAACTGATAACAAGAAACTACGTATAGCCTCCTCTCTGGGGGATGGACAGCAGAGAAGAGGGCAGGGGGAGATGTCGGAGAGTGTAACTTATGACAAAACAATAATAATTTATGAATTATGAAGGGTTCATGAGGGAGAGGGGAGTGGGGAGGGGGGAAATGAGCAGCTGATATTAAGGGCTAAAGTAGAAGGCAAATGTTTTGAGGATGAGGGCAACGAATGTATATATGTGCTTGACACAATGGATGTATATATGGATTGTGATAAGAATTGTACGAGCCCCCAATAAAATAATTTTTAAAAAGAACAAAAAGAAAATCCAGATATTCATTTTTTATTTTTTCCACTTCCATTGACAACATTCTACACAATGCCCACAAATGAGGTATTCCTAAGTATCAACACTGCCAACCTTATCCCCTACTCAATACTTTCTTTCTGGTGAAATAATAATGATTAGGATCACATTATTTAAATCTTGTATTTGACATCAATACCACACTGCCCCAATTACTGTCAATTTATAGTTAAATCTCAAAATCAGGTAGTGTAAGTCCTCCAACTTTGTTCTGCTTTTCCGAAGCATGACGAGTTCATGTCTCTGTATTTCCATATACACTTTAGCATTCACTTTTCTCATCATCAAATGTCTCCTGTCCATCGTAGCTCCCTTCGAAAACCAATGGGTCTGTGGCCTCCAGCCGCAACTCCCTGAGACCGGAGAACATGTTTTCCCAGGGAGGTCTACTAATTCCCTTTAGCACCATGTCTTCAAGATATTAAAGATGCATCTTAAAATTGTTGGACAACAACAGGAAACTTCCCACCTTGTTTTAAAACATCAAGCACAGGGAAATGTGTTACTATAACTAAAATTAGTGAAACTCCGTTTGGACTTTGTTCTAGACAAATCTATATTGTTTCTGCAAGTAATAACACATTAAAGTGGGCTCCCTCCTCCACTAAGAAATTTACGTGCTATAGATTTATGTCCAGGCATTTTCTTTATGGTTAAAGCCCAACAACCCATGTGTTTACTGAAAGAGCCCTTCTAAATAGGAATAATGTTACAAAATCACAGTTCTAAAGGTGCTGTTACACATGAGGAGAACAGATACACTATTTCAAATATTGCCATTATCAAAATGTCTCTTGGAAAAGTGAGTCAACACCCCGTTGAAAAGCCTCTAGATGTCTAATTCTTTGCTCTGAGAGATCCAACCAAATCTCACTTTCATAATATTAAATTTTAAAGAAATATAAATCTCTATTCTTCATGAATTCTTTTAAATCTAGTATTTAAAACTATCATAATCCATACTTGTGCTCATTCCAAAGAAAGGTGATACAACAGAATGTGAGAATTATCAAATACTATCACAAGCAAATAAAATTTTGCTGAAGAAAATCCAAAAACAGTTGCACCAATATATTGGCCGGGAACTACCACCCCAAATTCATGCTGGATTCAGAAGAGGATGTGAAACAAAGGATATAACTGATGGAGTCAAATGGACCTTGGCTGGCGGCAGAGGATACCTGTGTCTTATTGACAATGCTAAGGCAGTAGACCATGAGGATTGTAACACATTATGGGCAGCACTGTAAAGAATGGGAATTCCAGAACACTTCATTGTGCTCATGCAGAAGGTGCACAAACAGAACAAGAGGATCATGAGTGGTTTAAAATCAAGAAAGGTATGGGTCAGGGTTGGATCCTTTTGCCGTACTTAGGCCATCTGTATGCTGCGCAAATAATCCAAGAAGCTGAACTACATGAAGAATGGGCATCAGGAAAGGAAAACGACTTATTAAACAACCTGCGATATGAAGATGACACGACTGTACTTGCTGAGAGCAAGGCGGACTTGTAGCACGTACTGATGCAGATCAAAGACTACAGCCTTCCGTTCGAAGGACACCGCAACAAAGGGCAAACAAAAATCTTTACACATGGACAATAAACAACAGCAACACTAAAAAGGCAAGAAACCAGATGGGAAAATATGCTACAATTATAAATAAGCAAAATTCACAGAGCAGAAACTCAACTGGCCAATAAGTACATGAGGAGCTTCTCAGCCCTATAATTAGAGAAATGCAAACTAAAGTAAAACACCACTCGTTAGCCATCACATTGGCAAATATATTTCAAAATTAGATAGCACCACACATTGATGAAGATATAGAAGAAATAGGACCGCATATATATAGCCATTCTGGCGAGAAATCTGGCAGTACTTGGTGAAACTATATATACAAAAGGGCTTCAAACAGTTCACGAAAAAAATAGAACTCAAGGTAATAGAATTTGTCCACAAAGTATTTGAAGCCTCCTTTGTATGTGCTACTCTATGACCTGGTAGTCCCATTCATGAGAAATCCCTTAGAGAGACTGAGTCGTCACTAGGAGAATCCTCTGTAGACATGGTGGTTCCACACCAGGGAACATTCTGCTAGAGTTCCCCTTGCTATCCTCTAGTCCAGGGACTCCAAGCACGTCAGAGGAGAACTCTACTCCATAGGGTTTTCAGTGGCTGTCACCTGACAGAGGTGGAGTGCCAGGCCTTTTCTCCATGGTGCTGTTGGGTGGGTTCAAACTGCAGGTGTTTGGTTAGTAAAAGCAGTCAGTTATATGTAAATATAACCACCACAGGGAGAGACCTCTAAATCGCCATTGCAAAAAATAAGAAAAAAGAGAGAGAGAGATACCTCTGGCCTTGGCTCCACACGAGAAAGATTTCACGCCGAAGGCTGGTTTGTGATCCAAGTGAGTTTTATGAAAAGTTAGAAGCGGTTTCAGGTTTTACAGTAAATGGAATACAAGCCAGAGTCAGAGGTACAGTTGGCGGGACGTGGCACAGCCGTTATTGGGCTGTGTAGCCCGGCCATGCTGAACTGTGTGTTGGAGCTGCTGGGAGAGCGTGCCAGAGCAAAACCTCCAGCTTTTCAGGGGCCCATTGGGAGGCTGAATCAAATTCACCTGGCCCAGATGGGCCAATCCAGGTGTAATGCCCACCTAGGTGTACCACCCTTTCCTGGCCAGGAGCTCGAACCTAACACACATACATGAATTATATACAATTATAATACACATCTACAGAGATACTTCACACACAACAACCAAGTGTGGTGGGAAGGGAAGGGTGCAGTAAAGCACAATGAGGGGCTAGGCACGGCTCACTGGTGATATTATGCTGGGAATTACTCAGAAATGCTGAGTGACTTAACTTCCTGTCCCCCAAATTCTCATCCTTATTACAAATGAAGAATCCAAGACACTAAGCTACAATCATATAAATTAACCGAAAATTGACAAAAGTGCTCATTCTGCTTCTATTCCTAACACTAACCTGCCTTACTTACTTCTAAGAGAAACTTGCTTTTATAGCTTCTATACTTAGAGAGAGAAAGACGAGAATTGGTGCATCCTGCCACAGGAGTTTTGGCAATGCATTCAGGATGGAGTTCAAATGTCCTTTCAATCAGTCCAAGAAGGGTCAGCATGCCCAAGCAAAGCAGGGTCCAAAGGCAGGGAGCAGAAGCAATAGGATGCTATAGATGTACCTTTCTGAACAGTCCCTTCTGCTGTTGTAGGGCCATGGGGAAACCCTTCAATGTAGGTGGTTGGCAGCAAGTCTGCTGAGATAGGCTGACCTTCTAGATTTTGTAGTCTCTCTCGTACAGCACTGGTCAGATCTACATAAGCCTCATCGATGCTGGCACGTTCAATCACAGCAAAACGAGACATTACTTCCATCACTTCAACACTGGCTTCCCGGTACCTAAGAAGTACACAGATCATATGCGCAGGCAGTACACAGAAGGAACAATGAGATGACTGACCGCGTTCCAACTCTCTCAAAATGGAGCAGTGACATACAAATCAGTTCAGAAGCTCCCAAAGGAGACCCGTGGCCTGACAGGGAAGACAGCAACCCAACTGACAGGGTGAGTAGGCTGGCAGATGGCTCATCCTAACAGTAGCAAAGAAAAGGCTGACCCCTGGAGGCCAACAGTTGCAGTGGGACTTGAGCGCTGTCAGGTAGAAAGCACCCAGCCCATGGACGTGGGTGTCTATGTGGCAGGGAGTAGCTCTCTAAAGAAGAGCCATGTCTTCACACCGTTTGACCAGAAAACATTTCACGGTGACTGCTTGTGCCTTTTGCTATTTGCATATATCGGCTAGGAAGTCGTCTGCTTCTCTTTTGGTCTTCACATCTTCAAACAAGAAGGAACTTACATGAGGCAAAAAGCACGGATGAATGGACTCAAGAATCTGGTCTTCAAAATACTTTTCATTATAAATCACTAGATGACATTATGAATTTTATGTGTGCCACTGGTTAGTTTGTTTAACCTAGGGGCTGGTCCTCGCCTCCTGGCCCTCCTAGCCCAACTACAGAGCCACGTGGAGCAGCTCTTCCGGTGGTCCTACAGGACATGGTTTCCATGGCAACAGGTGGCTGTTTTCTTTGCTCTGCTTTGGATTTGCTGTGGAATTTAAAATCAGTCTTTTGTTCATGTTGGACCTACTTTGAGCCACAGAGAGGGAAATATTTGTACCTCTTCACTAAGACTCCTGTGAAAACTAGTATACATTCTTTAAAAACATGCTCACATGAGAAAATTACACAGACTTGGGCATTTTCCCCTTAGGCTGCTCTTGTGGGGGAGCGGAGGAGAGGTGTAGCCCCGCCCCCATACACACACACAGAGTCAGGAAAAGATGCACCATTTCAGAATTGGGGATTGGGATGTCCTCACAGCCTCCTGAGAAAAATTACTCCATGGTATTTAAAGAAACATATAAAACCTTATAAACATAATTATAAGAGAAGATTAGCATGGCCTCTGCACAAGTGTTTTTTAAAAAGTACTTAGTATGCATTAAGTCTCCATAAATAACATGCTTATCGCCTCTCAGGTTAATTATTACAATAATAATTTTAAACTCCCAGGAAGAATCGATGTTCTGAACTACGGTGTTGGTGAAGAACAGTGAAAGCACCATGGACTGCCAAACAGCAAGCAGACCGTCTCGGAAGAAGCACAGCCGTGGTGCTTCTTAGGGGCGAAAGGGCAAGACTTTGTCTTACGTACTTTGGACATATTGCCAGGAGAGATCAAGCCTCTAGCCCAAAGGTCAGCTGTTTGAAGCTACTATAAGGTGACCAGATTTTAACATTGGTAAAGTGGGACACCACTGATAAAACTCATCCTGGCGAAATAGCCACATGGCAGCCGAAAACCGCATACCCTAGCTTGTCGTGCATTCTTTCCAAAAATCGGGACTTTTTTTAAATGCCGTGGGACACAGGTGAAATTGTTAAATTTTGGGACTGTACCACCAAAAGCAGGGCGTCTGGTCACCTTAAGCTACTAGTCACTCTGCAGGAGCAAGATGAGGGGACAGCTCCATACAGCTCACAGCCTTGGAAGCCTTAAAGGGCAGTTCTCTGTCCACAGTCAGAATTGACTTGATAGCACGGCCAATACTGGCGGCTACCTTATAATAAGGTGAGATCTAGCGATATTGACTATAGAGAGCTTAACACAACGCCTGGCACATAATATGTGCTCGAAACATACGAGCTCTTAGGTTTATTATAATGGCCGGGACTTGTGCCTACCTCTGACTTAGCTATGCCAATGGCTGTCTCCTGTTCCAAAGCTAAACTTCTAAAACTTGAAGTCCAAAGGGAATTTTTTTAGATATAATTTACACAAAGCAAATTTGAAACACCAGTTCCTAGCTTCATGGAATACTACTTCCAACCCTTTTATTCCCTGTTAAGCCACTTTTTCTTCTTACTTGGTGAGGTTAGCTTTCCCCCGGGACTCACGAACTTGTGCCAGCAGAAGATCGGGACACAACTTCTTCGCATCATCTGCCCACATGTTTCTGGTGACCCCGTAAGCACGAGCTTCATAACTCACTGCAATTATTCTAAGGTTCAAAAAAAAGGGAGCAGAAAAAAATGACCACATGACAATAGGCACGGCACACAGAAACTTGGCAACAAACAGACTATCGCCATACAAATGCACACACTTTTTGGCCGTATATGTCATCGTTCAGTCACACACACAGCCTTTCAGAGATCAAAACTGTAACCGACTGGACTGCTACAATGGTGATCAGGATACATACCCCCCACCCTTCCATGATTTGTACTGCACAACTGCACAAGGCTTATTCCTTAAGTGAGGGTTTTGTCGTTGCTCCACTTGGACAAAAAAGCAGTCCATGTCCACCAGGGCAACCACCCGATCCTGTCCAGGGTAGCTGGCGGCCATCCTGCTGTAAAACAATATTTTACTGATGGTTAGACAGGATACTTATTGGCAATGAATTCTTAGATATAATGCCCTTAGCACAAGTTAACAACAAAAACGATGACTCACAACTACATACTGTATTTGGAGTTCACCATTTCCCCACAAACGTCCCTTTCTGGTCCAGGGTGCTGCAAGGCCCATAGCCACCCTGTCTCCTTAGACTCCTCTAACCTGTGACACTTCCTCCATCGGGCTTCGTTTCCACGACTGTGACACTTTTGAGGAGTGCTGGTCAGTTATTTTGAGAAAGGTCTCAGCATGGGTGCGACTGAGCTGTGGCATGATTACTTTGAGGCTGTGTTTGTTTGTTTGTTTGTTTGTTTGTGGGGATGGACTCCTATAAGTGTATCAAATCAGGAGCTGTGCCTTCCACATAGGAGATCTGGGTTCAAGTCCTAGCAGTGTCCCTTGAGTACAGCCACCTGTCAGTGGAGGCGTGTGTATTTTCTGATGCTGAACAGGCTTCAGTGGAGCTTGCAAAGACAGACAGACAGACAAGGAAGGCCTGGTGAGCTACTTCTGGAAAACCAGCCAATGAAAACACCATAAATCACAATAGCCCCTCAATCACCCTGTATACAAGGTCTCCTTGAGTCCGGGCTACGAACAAGGAGGTCATGTTTTCTGGGTTTCTCACTGTGACGTGACTAGTTTTCCTTTTGTAACTGATGTACTTCTTAAGGTAAATACTTCAAAACTATGCAAATAACCTGTTTCTCCTCAAACGTCCAGTAGTCCTTTTAGCACCCATCAATACCAGGAAGTGGAATGGCTGTAATCAGTGCTGTTGTGTTGTTACAACGAATTACTTTTATATGACCTTTCTCCCAGGCTCTTCTAATAGCCACCAAATGATTAGGGTGGGCTATGCAAAATAAGGTGCTTGTGGTCCACCAAAAAGATTGGACAATTTGCTAATAATGCAAACAAGATGCATGATACCCTGGAGGTGGGACCATGCAAACAAAGTGCATGGTACTCTAATGAGGGGACTAATGTGTTTTGCCATACCACTAGGCTTAAAAAGAGCCACCCTGGAGGCAGGAAGGGAGGAGCTACTGGCAAAAAGAGGTGGGAACAGAACACCTCCATTGGACCAGAGGTCCCTGGGCTGGGAATCTCCTAGACTCAAGAGACAAAGAACTGTGACACCAGGGATGGTGAGAGACGGTGGCAGCAGAACCAGGAGAGTAACAGGTGGCAATGTGGTGGCCTTCCTAGTCCACGGAGTGAGAGGCCTGAGTGCCTTTGATTGGGCAGAAGGCTCACTGGTGGAGTTGGGTGCCTGCAAGCATTTACTGGTGAAACTACAGGGCTTGGTAACACTTGCTCAAAAAGGCACAGGTCAAAGAAAGGCCTGCCTGCAGGCATGGCCAAGAAGAGGACATCCTGATAGAAAAAATGTATGTATCTCAAATCATTTCTGAGCCTGAATTATAACCAGTCACTTCACTAATAAACCCAGGTGACAGCTACTTGTCTACTTTGCTAGGTCATGATTTTCAGTGGTTTGGCAGTTTTGTAATGATGTAGCTATCCTCCGTTTGGGGTTATGATGGGATCACCTCCATGATGTGAGCAATCAGGAAGTTTCCTCAGGGGTGTGGCCTTCATTCAGTATATATCGATGTTGTAGCAAAGCTCACTTGCTTTCCTGCTCACTCTCCATGCTGAATCTGGAATCCCACCATCATCTGACCTCTAGTTCTTGGGACTGATGCAGCAGCCAGCCATATTGCCGGCCCACGCTGGGGTTCGGCAGCCTCTGCAGCCCTTGAGCCAGCAGCCAGCTACCTGACCTGCATATCTTAGTTTCATCATCCCCTGAAACTATGAGTCAGGAGAAGCATCTAGCCTGATGGACTTACCATCAACCACCTATAACTGCATGAGCCATTTCCTTGAGATAAATCTACAATGTAGTGGTTAAGCATTCGGTTGTGATTGGCAAGGTCAGCTGTGGGAAACTGAGAACCTGGAAGAAAGTGTAAGCAGCCTAATCTCTACACTTGTGGCCACAGGGGTTGGAAGAACAACTCTAATGTTCAGGAAAACCTCCATGAGAAGACAGATAAACCCCAATGTACATATTCTCTAGGAAGAACTTTTCTTCACATCCACCCTCCATAAAATGAAAGCTGTCTCCTACAGATGTGCTCACCATATGTGCAGTTAAAGATATAGACCCCTATCTATATCTGTCTTTTATCCCCCCCACCTTTTTTTCTTATGTGCCCTAGGCATGAAACAGTTCTGGCCATGATCTAGGCATCAAGCTAGGATGAACAAAGGACTGCCAGTCTGCTCTGCCCCTGACTGATATAAGAGCACCACCACCAATCAGGTGTCTCTTTGCCCATAGCCAGGGGTTCATCTGTCTTTTATTCTTAAAGAGCAAATGACACCATTTGTTTCTCACCTGCCAGACACTTCCTTTGAAGTGCTCCCCTATAGGGCTCAGGATATTCAAGAGTAACCCATTGCCTATTTCATCATATATACTAACAGGATGATTACTATAAAATCTTTTTGTTGAATAAACTCAAATCAGTCCCCTGTGCCTCCCTTTCCTGTCTCCTTTTTTCTATAATTATACACATCACTCCTAAGGGCCCGTTGACTGTGGGGCTGGACCCCAGTCAGCAGGTCTACACCACCAGCCACTCCACAGAAGAGAGACGGGTGTTTTCTATTCCTGTAAAGAATTGCGGTCTCAGAAACTCACAGGGGCAATTCTATCCTGTCCTTTAAGGTTGCTAGGAGTCAACATGGACTCCACAGCAGTGAGTGAGTGCTCTATCCACCTACCTACGTATTGAATGGATTCACTGATTTTGCTTCTCGAGAGGACCTAGCCTGACCTCCCGGATCCTGAGTATTGTCTATGAGTTTTGTGTGGCGACTGTCATAAACTGTCAGACCTATCAGAGGAGTAGAGTGCTTCTGGAAGGGCCGCTGGTGTCAGAATTGGTAAAAAGTAGGGTGCTTTACAGGGTGGAGGAATGCCGGACCTCGGCTTCCCAGGATCAGCTTTGGGCTGATGCTGATAGTGATTTCCCCCCCTCGTAACATCAGAAAAGGGCAGATGCCGCTGCCATACTAATTTTTACAGTTCTAACAGTGATTTTCTACCCACTCAGATACATTTTTTAGTACAAATAAAACCACACTACACACTGGTCACGTATTTTTAAAAAACCCAACCCACTGCCATTGAGTTGATGCTGACTCAGAGCGACCCTCCAGAACAGGATAGAACTTCCCCCCGTGAGTTTCCAAGACTGGAACTCTTTACAGGAATAGAAAGCTCAGTCTTTCTCCCAAACAGCAGCTAGTGCTTTGGTACTGCTGACCTAGCAGCCCAATGTGTAACCACTATGCCACTCGGGCTCCTTGTTCACACACATACACAAAGATATGGGTGACAGACTGACGGCACCAACACACCTTACCTACTTGAGTGGGTAAAGACTAATGTTACTATGTAACAGTGTCAAAGATCTAGAGCAGTGGTTCTCAACCTTCCTAATGCCATGACCCTTTAATACAGTTCTCCACCGTATGTGGAGATGTGATGACACCGTATGTGGGCGGATCTGCATGTGGGCAGACCCGCCTGGAGACAGCGTCTTGGTTCCTCAAACCATAGGAAATATGGTCTTAGGCGACCCCTGTGAAAGGGTCGTTCAATCCGCAAAGGGGGAGACCCCCAGGTTGAGAACCACTGATCTAGAACTAAAACTAAAACAGGGGCTCCTAAAATTGACATTGGACACCTTTCATCGCCATCTGGCTGCCATCCTCAGGCGTTTTATTTTAATTGGCCTGGGTGCTTTCTGGGCATTGAGATTTTTTAAATTGTCCCACGTGATTCTCGTATGCAGCAGAAGCTGGAAACCGCTAACTGAAAGTAGGATGCCTATGAAAACACAAACCCGTAACTTGTGACGAAACATCTGAAACAGGCTACACACTTGAGCAAGCACCCAGGTGTCTTCTAAAAAAGAAAGCATCTACCTTGGAAAAAAAAGGAGGGCATGCAATTCTACAGCTGGAAGAAGTGGAAAGAACAATAAAGAATACAGAAAGTCAGAGTAGTCAAGGCATTCATTCCTTCTAAAGACATTCCCAATGTTCACTCACCTAAGACAGGCAGAATGTGATATTTCAAATATGTGTACATTTAAGCCTTGGCATGTCAGATGTCCCTTGAACTTGAAGTGGCTTTTCTGTGATACTGGGATAACAGGGGGGAGAAGGGAGGCGGGGACAGAAGGGATGAGGCTGTTTGCTACCTTGAAGATTTTCCATTTTGGAAGCCCTAAATAGGAGTTCTACTCTGGCCTAAAGGGTGGGACTGAGTCACACCTGACTGATAACAGTGGGGTGGGTAGATGGGTACAGGTAAAGTCTGAATTAAAATAGTAAATGCATTGTAACAAACAAAAAACCCAGCCCCAGGTATCATAGTAGGCACCGTTATCAGGAGTGGAGCAGGAATAGGAAGGAGTGATTTAAGCCCAGCCAACATTTTGCTAAATATGCAAATGCATAAACAGATATGCAGCTCAACAGAAAATAAAACGGCTGCAGTTTTCCATTAATGTGTTTGGCTGGGGAAACAGGAGCTTTTGAAAGACGGAAGAAGAAACAACACTTTGCCAAAACCATGTTTTGGGAATGAGGATGACACAACATTCAAATCAAATATCTTGTCAGTACCGCCCAAGCCTTCAATAATGGCATCCTGAAATACCTCCATCTAGCGCAGCAGCAAGTTCAAACAAGTCTGGAGTCCACGAAATGATACTGTAGCCCGCCCCCCTCCGGGGAGGGGTGGTTACAAATAAAATGTCGATTTCCGCTCTATAGGGATGAATACATTTTTCGAAAAGAAAATTCCACTTACAGGACAATACCAGTGTCTTAACTATGTTCCTTCTCCACGAAACCCGGAGCCCAATGTTGTTCCCAGCCACCGGCAGCACAAGCAGCCCGGCGGTGTTCTCCCAGCGGGGTGATGAGCACCTGTCAGAACCGTCCCAGGCAGAAGCCGTCGCTGGGAGGAAGGTCTTGACCTTCTCGTCGCCTTTCCCAGGCAGTCCAGTTGGTCTGGACAGCAATCTGTGGAAATGGACCCGGAGTCACCAAGGGCCCCTGCCCAGCAGGCGCTCTCACGGAAGGGGTCCACCCGGGCCAGGGCGCCGCCCGGCGAGCACTTCCGACAGCTCG